GGGGGGGGGGGGGGGGGGGGGGGGGGGGGGGGGGCGGAGAGGATTTTTTGAGTGTTTGCAGGAGTGGTTGGGGACAAATCAGAAATGAGGTTGAAAAGAGGGGAATAATGGACACATGCTTAAGTGTTTTGAGCCACTGCGTGGCAGGAAGAGTAATAAGGAGAGGCTGCAGGAGCTGATTTGTGAAAGACTAGGAGGCTCTGGGCTCTAGCAGAGATATCTTGAGCCCCGGACTAGTTGCCACCCAGTGCGTGCTGAGGGCTGTTCTTCACAGCTCCTCATTTTGCCATGGCCACTGTGTAGCTTTCAATCCTGACAGGGCACAGCTTCCCTGCAGAGCATGGTTGTGCTTAGTGGAACAGCAGCAAGCTCGTGGCGGATGGAGACGCTACGGGCAGCTGGGTAGTGGCCAAGAGGCTGGAGCAAAATACAATGGGAGGCCTTGTGCCTGAGCACATGTGAGGTACACTGCGTAGGCAATCCAGAAATAACTGGGGAAACTTCAAAGAATGCCTCAGAATTCTTGAATGAGCAGCCAGGGGCTCAGAGCTGAGACTGAAGTGTAAATGTTATCATGATCTCGTTTGTACTTATTGCTGGTGTGATCTAGTATATTAGAGTTTTATATACAGTGGAATTATTATATAGCTGTTATACAAAGCTTCTGCAGATCTATATTTATTGACATGGAAAGTGTTGCAGTCTAGTGATAAGTGACAGAAGTGGATTGCAAACTGAATGGGGCAAGAATCCCCAGTGCTGTTCAGGGACCTAGGCCCTGAGTGCACAGGGAAAATCTAGTAGCTGGCCTGCTGTGTTTGGATGGCCACTGACAGGATTTAAGACATGGTATCTGAAACCCACAGTAACAGAAAAAAAGTCTTTGGACTATTGAGGTTAATTTCTTAACGCAGAAAGGAATCTTTAGTTTTATTAATAAGAACATGAATGAGGGTAGGTAGTATACCAAGCAGTTAGCTGCTTACATTTAGAACAGTTGTACCAGCATTATCACAGAAAAGTACATGTGTATGGCAGGCACTGCTAGGAGCCAGTCTCGAGCTGTTCTTCCTCCATCTTATGAACACAATCGAGGTTTTTAGCTATTGGGCAGCAGCCTGATTCATAGGAGGCAAGCCCCTCCCTAGCCCTAATGGGTAAATCTTTTTTTTTTTTTTTAGGCAGCTGGCCAGTATAGGGATCCAAACCCTTGACCTTGGTGTTACAAGCTATGTTCTAACCAGCTGAGCTAACCTGCCAGCCCAATGGGTAAATCTTGATTATCCTGCATCAAACATGAGAAACCTATTCCCTTTGCCAGGAACTGTTTCAGGAAAGGGTCTGTGATACAATTCTGGCCAAGTTCAGGAAAGTTCTCTTGCTTTTAAAAACAACAGTCTCTCTTAGATGTGATGCTTGAGACTGCTGTAGCCATCTTACATCTGTGAGGTTTCCTTCAAAGAAAGAGCTGAAGGCCTGCAGTGGCAGAGTGAATGAAGAAAGAACGTGAGTCCTTGATGAGCTGGGCTTTTGTTTTTGTTTTTTCTAAAAGATGACCAATAAGGGGATCTTAACCCTTGACTTGGTGTTGTCAGCACCACCCTCTCCCAAGTGAGCCAACCGGCCAGCCCTATATAGGGATCTGAACCCATGGCCTTGGTGTTATTGGCACCACACTCTCTCAAGTGAGCCAGCGGCTGGCCCTCTTGATGAGCTGTTGAACTGCTGAAATAGCCAGTCCTGAAGCTCCCAACATTCAGACCTCTTGTTTTGATTCAGAGACACATTTTTACATTTTAGTATTCTTGAATGCAGGATATGTCTTCCAAGCAAGGACATCATAGTTTCAGTGAAATACATAATGTGAGATTTAAAAAAACAAACGAACAACTCCTTATTGTTGAAATCATTTTAAGTTGGGTGTTCTGAGTCAGTTATTCTAAATGATATCGACATTTCCCACATTTTTTTTTATAATAATAATTCCCTGGAAGAATGGATCGTGGCAAAATAGAGAAAATGAGAGGGTATGTGCAAGTTACCTTTCTGAAATAACAGCTATGTATATGAAGTATTGGCTCCATGCCAGGTACTGCTCTAAGCACGTTTTATACACTATCTCATTCGATTCTCACAGCAGCCCTATCATTATCCCCCTTTTGCAGCTGAGGAAGCCAAAGTGCAGAAAGGCTGAACAAATTTGTAAGTGGAAGCATTGAGATCCCTTTCTGAAATAACAGCTATGTATATGAAGTATTGGCTCCATGCCAGGTACTGCTCTAAGCATGTTTTATACACTATCTCATTCGATTCTCACAGCAGCCCTATCATTATCCCCCTGTTTTGCAGCTGAGGAAGCCAAAGTGCAGAAAGGCTGAACAAATTTGTAAGTGGAAGCATTGAGATCCGAACTCAGACAATCCAGCCTAAAAGCCAATGGTCTCAACCACCATGTTGTGTTTCCTAAAAAATTATGCAATGACAGTGAAACATTTGTACTTAACTCCAGTTATTTTAATTCATCCACCTAGAAACCCTGTCATGAAAACATAGAGGGTTTTTTCCCCTGAGATTTCTCAGGACCATGAAACAGTGCCATATATCCTGTTCAGCAAAAATCTGGAATCACTGAATGTAGATTAACTTTCTGGAGAAGGAGATATAATGTATTTATTTATTAAGAATAGACAACCCTGGAGTTGTGTATTATTTCTTTGCACTTCCCAAGTGTCCAGGAAGAAAAGCAATTCATTTTATGTGCCTGCTCTGCTGAGCCATTACCTCTAGTAAAATTATGACTTAATGGATTTTTTAAAAATAAAAATAAATGAATTTGAAGATTATGAAATATTCTGTGGCTCTCTTCTGCTATTTCCTGGATATGTCTTTCCATTCCCAGAAAGCTCTACCTTTGCACAACTGTTGCATAACCTTTGCTTCTGGTGGTATTTGTTCCCTTTGCCTGGAAATTCCCTTCCCTTCACCCTCTTCTCTGCTTAGCAAATTCCAACTCATACTTAAATGCCTCCTCTGTGAAGTCTTGGCTAAGATGCTGCTACAATCCCCAGCTGTTTCCTTCTGGCACCTTTCTTGTGGCAGGTGGTTTAGCACGTGTTCTGCAATCAGGTTGACCTGAAGGAAAGTCCCAGCTCTGCTGATTCTGAGTAACCTTGGGCAAATTACTTCACCTCTCCCTAAGTCTCATTTTCTCATCTAAAATGAGAGGGTGATCATCTGAACCTCACAGGACTGTTTCAAGACTGTGCATCGGAAGCCCTTCGTACAGTGCCTGGCACAGGATAAACACTCAGTAAATGGGAGCTCTTATTATTTGAACATATTTATTTTAACATTCATCCCACTGTTTTACGATTATTTGTTTTTATGTCTGGCTTTTCTGCTAGGGTGTGAGCAAGACAAGGATCAGGTCTTCATTCTTGTTTTGTTTTGAACTCTTTAAGTCATCTTTATTGAGGTATAATTAACATATGATAAAATGCATCCATTGAAAATGTATAGTTTAGGGGCTGGCCCGTGGCTCACTTGGGAGAGTGTGGTGCTGATAACACCAAGGCCA